TGGGAGCTATTAAACATAGTCTATAAAATTAACAAATATAAATAAGGTCCAAGTATCTAATAACGTGTATCTTAGAAGCACGATATAAGGGATATATCAAATGAATAGTATTATGAAAAGTGAAGTTTTTGATGAGAGCATCAAGTCGATTAACGAGGCAATAAACCGTCAATAGCTAAGGTAGCTAAGATATATTTTATGCATAACGTTTCATTACCTCACTTGAGTCGTAGTACAAGCTGGCCTAAGAGTACATCGAAGGAAATTTTGGAGATCCTAAAAGAGATATATCATTAGTCTAAGAGGTAGCTGAGCTATTCTGGTTGGGACACCCGTGATCATTGTAACCCATCGTTACAAACGTTGCTTGCAATGGCTTAAAACTTATTACAATGGTACAGATACACTTGCTATCTAACTCCCCTTAAATGTTTGGTTTCGTTTTAGTTCATGCACTTTATTATTCGATCAAAATCAATTCTTTATAGCCAAAACTCACAATTTATGCAGTAACAAACACAATTATTTCATCTCCATCTCCTTTTGCTTTGTTAATTTCTCCCCTAAATGTTCATTCGTGTGGTACGGAAACTTAGAACGATGTCGAGTAGTGTCCTGTCCTGAGCTATCTATGGATAAATGTCCACCAATTGTTTCGGAGGTGAAAGATACCTCTGTGGACTATGATATAGTGAAAATTCGTCAATCGCATTAGATGGATCAAGTATAACCCATAGATCAATTGATGCAGCAGTGATCATTACCCATGTACTGAATGTTAAGAGACACACTGTACAGTTATAACGGAAATGAAAACCAGACCATTTCACCAGAATGAATATTGTGAACAAAGACAATATCAAAGTCGGTCGTCTTGAAACCTTTTAAGATAGTTAATTATTTACCGGTAAAATGGGTACATTTCAATAAACCTACCAATTTTGAAATGCAATATTACCCCGTGGAAATTTGAGAAGGAAGAAAAACAGAAGAATATATAGGCTATGTTTGTTGCTAAATCTGTGCTCTTTTTCCAGTCTTCACGCAGAACTCTTGCCAAAGCACCAACAAGGGTTTCTATGAAGAAAATATTCGAGTTCAATACAAGGTAAAAGTCATAAATCGCAAATAAATATATGCTTCTCTAAACATAGTGTAAAGCCAATCTATTAAAACAGTTCCAAAAATGTTCGAACCAATACCTCGGACTTTTCAAATACAAATGTGTTCCGAAGCTTAAATTATGTTGTCTAAACTTATCAACCTTGACGTAATTAAAATTTTTATTCCAAATTATTGAACTGATGTTCCGGAAGGAAACGTGAAATCTTTCCATGCTATTTTATACCGATTCATGTCATGTAGCACTGGTTAAACATCTTTTTGAAAATGATTGGTGGGAAATCTTGAGCGGCAGCACCATATTTTTCTACCCATGATTCTTGATGAAGAATAAAATAGGTAGACTATAGAACCAGAAACGTCTGCGTCTCTATTTGTTTGTAACAGAACTATTTCAGTGATAGTACTGGCGTCAAACACTAGGCTGTAGGGAAAATAAGTAAATGATTTGATCAAACCATAAAAACTGGTCGACCAAGGGAGCCAAATTTTACATTAGATACTTTCAATAATGTCATATTCAGAAGTGCGGAAAGACAAACATAAGGACGGGATAAAAGAAGACTTAGTTGATTCAGTTGGAAGCAACTTATCATATCCTAACATCAAAAGGTTATTTTCAGATGTACTATTATACTTTGACTCTCTAATACGATTCACATGGATATAACGAACGTTTATCTAGATATATTAGAGGGAAATTAAGCGAAAAATTGTGGAAGCATTTAATATCACATATACAACAAAATATGTCATTAAGATCTAAGTTAGTATAGTTTCTGGATTTATTTTATCGTACTCACCGTAACATATAAGTGAGAAGTACTACCTCTAAAGCGTAAAGTTAGGCTCCGTGAAACATTTGTTACTACCAATAGGCAATAATTTTAAATTTTATCACTGTTGTAAGCAGGTACATAGTTTCTGTCTGCTAAGCCTCATATGTTATCAACGTGTATAAGTCTATCATAAGGAGGTTCGGTATACACTAAACGATCTTGGCGTTATTTCTATTTTTGTCATTGAGTGATGCAAAGCGGTTCTAATAGTTGCGACAGGTTATAGCATCAAGACAAACCACATTTTATGTTATAAATATCTATTCAACGAACTTTAGAATGTCATAGCCTTAATCTGTAGAAAAGTCCAAATACCTCATCAACATCATCAGTACTAAACATCAAACGATAATCCAGTTTTATAGAAACTGACTTAGGTATCTGTTTTTTATCCTCTGAAGAGAACTAATAAGCTGAAGGATGATAAAAACAAAACACAAATTATGAAAATGTGGTTTCAACTGACCATTTTGAAACAGCTCCTCTAAATTGTCAGAATTTCTCGCAAGTTGTAAGATCAAAGCCGATGCACGTAGCTTTTCTGATATACCTTCATAGAGTAGTTCTAAATAATCCTCTAGTTCAGTCAAATGAGCAGTTTCATTTATTTCAGTTGAATCGAACGCTCCGGGATCAGCAAGTGTTTCTGATATGATTGACGGTTTTTCTAGCAAAAGATAATTTAACACTAAGAATATAGAAATACTGACCAAAATTAAAATTTAACAACCATTAGCAGCTGTATAAAGGATAGTGCTGAACGTGTCATTGAAAAGGTTTTCACTCAAGCCATTTGATTTTCAGAAATGTACGTTTCGTTAGTGAAAGGATCAGATTAGTTTAGCATAAGGCTTCTGATAATATGAAAACTGGTAAATGAACGTTTCCACGAAAGATTTATTGAAATTCAAAAATTAGAGAAACATTTTCACTCGGAATTTTTGATTAGAATATAAGAAAACACTCTTTTGATCTGCGATGTTTATGTTTTGTTAGCAACTTTTAACTCGAGAAAGACGTCTTCTTTACTGTAAATTGCAACAACAAATCAATTTAAACTGAATGTGAAATGCATCTACGAAGTCGAAAATATTAGACAATGTTCTCGTTAAGAAGTGAAATGGATTTCGGCCATATATACCTTCTAATCTATTAAAATTGGATATAAGCTACAAAACATAAGGCGTTTCACCTTCAGATCAGACCATTAATTTCATATGCTTAGTATGTTCTGAATTATTTTTCTGATTTTGCTGTAATGATAAAACATTTTTATACATACGGATGTAATTCATGTTATCAAATATGTACTTTTAAATGCAGTTTTTTATAATAGATTGTAGTGCAACGTTTGCAGCTACTAACTACTGGACTAAGCCTAAAAAATGTATAGTTTATCTATAAAATGTTCAAAATATGGATGTTGAGACAGAAATAGATATTTAATTCAGCAGTGAGTAATATTTCCTGGTCAAGGAATTTTGGTTTCTGACTTCGCAAACTAAGTACACACTTTTAATAATTGATCAACTGTTATTTTAACTCACTAAAATTTGGTCATTGATTGCACGCTTACAAATGACATTTGTTATGTCATTATTTTTCATGTCCTGTTATGTGGAGGTTGGTGAATAAATAATTCCTTACATAAAGTTTTGCTGTCTTACTTGCGTAGACAATAGCGATAAGTGGCAGAAATCGGCTAATCGCAAGGCGTGGCGAGCAGATGCGCTTGTCGCAGCAATCAGAAGTTGCTTTGATTCGTAACACTGATATATCAACCTTGTCTGTGTCATGGCAACGAAACAAACTTTTATTCAGAGACGACACATGATCTAGATGGAGCTTGGTCGTCCTTTCAAAATGTATCTACCCTATACATTTGACTGACACTTTTGAAATCTCTTTGTTGTCACTTGATTTAGGTAGCTACATTTCACCTGGCCGTTTGTTCTTCAGAAGTTTTATACAAATCTAATATATGAGACTATAGTTTCTTAAGAAAGTCTCATGTTGCTAAGCAATCAAATTCGTCGGCCATAGTTTTTCCTTTTATATGGAAAGTAAAAAATTCGAGTGTTTATATTTTTGTGAGACCCTAGCAAGTTGGAAAATCTAATGATTGGTTCGAATATCTGTACTGGATAAAAAAACACGAACGTTTTTTTGTCAGTTAAACAACTGAATCATTTTATTTCAGGTTGAAACAAACAAATCAACTACTTTGTAACAACCAATCCACTTCAGTCTTTTATTTACTTCCCAGATTATTTGGAGTGGCTAGGAATGTTTTCGAATTTCGTGCATTACGTGTTATGGGTTGCATTTTCATTAAGAAAACCGAACATTGATTAGTAAATAAGTATGGGAACCCATTATACCTGGTATTTGTATATCCATATATTCTATGAAGCACATTTGGAAAATGAACACAGCGGTCTTTGCAGTGTGCAGTCTCTGTTTTCAATTGATATCTTACCAGTAAAACATCTAAAACCATAAATGTTTTTCAGTAGTATGCAATGAATTCAGGATGAATCGAAAGAGAATAAAGATCTTGTGGTGGTAAGTAACCAAACTGAAGTCCTTCTGGAATCACACAATTCTACGTGCTTTTAAGAAACACTTATGTAAACTGAATATAAAAGAAAAAATGTCCATCTTGTAGTGTTTATAGGGTCAAGCTTGAACAGTCTATTTTTAATGACAAAGTAAATTTCCCCATCGAATAATCATATATATAATAAAAGCTGTCGTTAGAATAGCAAAAACTAACGATTTTTAACTTTCTTCGTCTCTTTTCTCTTCAGCAAATACTTTAGCAAATGTTCAACTTGTGGATATTTGTTTTCCGATATCAATTTACAGCTTGAGATGATCTTTTTGGCCAGCTCAGGGATATTTGTGTTTTCATTCAGATTTCTAACACGAATTCTATATATGTTAGATCTCATAAATCTATATGTCATTACATTTTTTGACTTTCCTTTCGATCACCAACCATTGGATTTCCCAACTCCCCAAGAATTGTAGCCTCCGTTTCATAGTGCACAACAAGTGCTTTTTCAGTTGGATGCACATCTATAGAACCAGCGCGTATTTTTCTTCGGCAGTTTCGTCAATATTACTAACATACCTTTTCAGAAATTTGGCATCTTCAACCATTTCAAAATCCCGGTAGTCAACAAGGACAGAACCACGGAAAACAGAGAAATTAATTGGTTAGCTGAATAAAACTGTATATGCCATTCAATAAACAATGAATAGTCCAAAACTTGCACTCTAAAACTTCTGAGATAAAAAGTTATTTTTCTTCTAATAAACATTCTAATGTGTGAATCATTTCACAGATGGAGTTCTGATGCACATGTTGGAGTAGATTAGTCGTTGGTTCTAATACTGTTTTAAATTGTATGTCATGGACAATGTCGTTATGCCGTTCAGTATAGCAGCTGGATCTATTTTTTCTCACGTCTTTGAATGCCGGCCTCAAAGATGGAGTGTCATCACAGAAACTAATGCGGAGACCTTTTTCTCAAGTAGTTTTGGCAATATTGTGGATATGAAAATGATATATATTGAGTGACTAAGTAACATAGAATCATTCAATCTGTTAACTTCCAAACATCACAGGCATTGAAATAAGAATTCATGCTTGACTATCTAACTTACTGGACAGCAGCCCAAGATAACGTTCGTTTGCCAATGTAATACTCACAGATTTTAGCGAAGCATTTGATATTATCATTTAGGTCTTATGCGGAAGCATTCTAGCATCGAAGTGACAGGTGCTGAACGTGAATGGGTTAGAAAATTCCTCTGTAGGTGAAGACAGAAAGTGAGGGTAGAGGAGAAATTATCTGAATGGAAGTCTGTCAAAAGTGGTGTACTACCATCTTTGGTTCCATAATTTTCCTTCTCAACGCGACTGCTTATATTGTTGACATCATTGTTTGCGGATGACGTCAATACTCGGTGAAGAGAGGCTGATCACTATGACCTCTAAGCTGACCCAGACGAATTAGGTAAATGGTATCAAAGTCGGGGCTTAGAAACAAATATTAATAAGAATATGCTCATGTACATCAGGCAAAGTTATGATTACCAGTTTTTCCAGGATTACGTATCATAAGGTTTCTCCAGGTTTAAGCCAGAAAAATCACTGTAGATCAGTCGACGGCTCTATTAAATTTCAGACCTTCGGACACTGCTGAGCCAATTAACTAGCTTCTCAACTTGGTCTGTTTGCTTTATTAAGTACGTATTGACTGTATTATAAGACGGAACTCTGAGCTCAAACCATGCATCAAGTTGAGTCGTTTCTGCATTATACAGTAGAGGACTGGACAGTGAATATTTAGTGAGGGGTGTGGAGGTTGGAAGGCTAAAGAGAGAACATAAGCGAGTCGCACGACCATTTTGGCCATATAACTCTTTCATCTTTATACTAAGCATGTTATATAGAAATACGTTTCTAGTGGGATCTTGCAAAATAATGATCCTGACTGCCATGTTAGAGTGAGTCAATGTGGACAATAATATGAATCCAGTAGAAGATCATGTAGGTCAGGCAATAAAAATCAGCTTTAGAATGCTGGGCCTGTTGTCTTAATAGCAAACTTGAGCCTTAAATCCAATAAATGTTTCCGTCACCACTTACAAAATTTCACGTATTATGCTGGTAGTTTCTGTTGTCACAGCTAATACTAGTACTTTTTATACGGTTAGCTCTCCCTCTGTAATTACTTTGTAGATTATAGTTACCGATATATTAATGATCACTTTTACAACAATTTAATTGCTTCGGCAAATATCTCCGTCAACAATAATGTTATTAATTATACTATGAATGGCAATAATGGCACTGTTTATATCACCAACAACTTTGTGGCTAATTCTTATCCAATCAGCGCTAGTCGATACTTGGAGAACAATCTAGAAATCTTCTCATGTAAAAACTATAAATGTACTAACGTTTTTCCTATTGTGCTTCTTACTTCCATCTCACCTTGTTATTTGGAATGTAATCTCTTTCCTGTTCAACCGTGTTCTGATTTGGGGATTTATCGAGTGAATTGGTGTCGAGAATACTAACCAATAGGAATAGCTGGGTTATGACCATTAGAGAGAATTACAAAAGTGGTGACGAAGAAAAAGGAAAACAAATCCAAGACGCCCATATCAGATGACCAGCTTAACCGAATACTACAACAACAGCAAGCACAACCTGATGCACAAATGTGGTTGTTGGAGACTCTGACTCAACAGCTCAACATCGACTGCTCGAATTCACATGCTATTTCAAGTACGTCTTGTGACGCAGTCGCTAGCGGCATCCCAGAATTCATCTATGATCCCGAAAGTGGAAATACTTTTCTCACGTGGTTCAAACGTTGGGACGATATATTTAGAATAGAATTCTGTAACCAAGATGACGCGTGGAAGACTCGATTGTTGGGAAGCAATGAACATAGATGTTATACCGACCTAATATTGCCGAAGTTACCTCGAGAGCCCAGTTTCGAGGAGAAAGCAATTCACTTGTCAGAGATATTCGGTGAGTTATTCTCGTTGTTTCGTATTCAAAATCGATGTTTAAATTTGGGAAACGCGAAGTCAATGAATTTGGAGCTCTAGCAGACATCGTCAAGAGAGAATGTGAACGGTTCAAGTATTCAAAATAATTTGTTAACTAAGAGTTTATCGTGTTTAATATCTTTCCACGCATGTAACAGATTTCGAACAGCTTTATTTAGCCTTCATAGACAACCCCATTTAAATTAATTTCTAACTGCTTAAGATTTGACTTCATTGAGATATTAGTACGACAATCAGAAATATTCGAAATAATTTGCTAAGAATTCATGAAATGGTGCAACTTAAGGCAGGTAAAACTAGATGAGTACGATTGGAGTTGACGTTCTTGTAATTCTTAAAATATGAGCAATTAAGTGCAAATAAATCATGAGTCAGTACAAATACCGCAAGTAGTCAGGCGTATATTTGCAAGTTGAACTACACAACATGTCTTGACTACTTTTCTCCATATTCTCGAATATGCGGACCCAAATGAAAACCAGCAAACCTTATTTTACTATCTTGGTTATAAAGTGGAGAGCAAAGGCAATATTAATTGTCCAGTATATATACAAGTATCGGCTTCATATTATTTGCACAAAAAACCTTAATTTACTTCCAATTGCGTTCCTTTTGGTCTATACTTATCTCATTTACACCATTAAAGATAAACATAATGAAGGAATAATAAAAGAGCCAGTAACTATATGAATATCTAATTGCGTAGACCAGTGTCATCACTTCTACAGAATTAGCAAAAGGCTTATAAACTCAAGAATTTCTCGCTCATACGTAAGGTTTTAAAAACTGTTGTTCAAAGAGTGACAGAACTTCTCACCTAAAAAACTCCACAGCTACCGGTTACCTAAAATTTCAAGTACAGATCTAAGCAAATGAAGATAAAAAAAATAAAATAGTGGTAAAATAGACGGGCATTTGTAAAGCATAAACAATTAGATGAACACTTTTCTTAAGAAACGCAGAGACGGCTATGTCCCATATTGCAAATTATCAAGCATTCCAACTAAGTACCTTGTTTTACATACCTTCTATTCAATAACATTGCAACCTGTGATATTAAGATGTTACAGATAATTAGATAAGAGTACTTTAAATGTAATCAAACTATAACCATAACATAGATACATCATAGACATACCAACGATCACTAATTTTCAGTTACCATGTAATGGATAATGTTCGAAAGGCTGCATTCAGTGTCATGCACCTCACAATACAAATAAACAGTGATAGTTCGAGGATAACAATAACGGTCTCTGTTGAGTATAATCGGGTTTAGAAATGTTAGTTTTTTTGTAGCCGTTTGCATTTGCTGATATTTCGTTTTCGGCTCAGATTTTATTATAAGTATATGACACTAACACAATTTAAAAACCTATATTGCTTACTGAGAATCACTTAGCAAGTAAAGCTATGATCGAGTTCAGGTGTCTAGTCGATCAATTCCAGAAATTATATTGTGTCATCGACTACATATTGGTGTGATTACCACTGATTTATGCAAAAAATGTCCAGTGCCTACAAAACGAAGTATATTCCTTGAATTTTTTTCGTGTAAATATCCCAATTCTGCTAATTTTCATATTTGCTGCTATTTTCACCATGAATGATCTCCTGACACTTATAAAATAATTTAATCCTTGTCCTACAGAATTTCTAGTAAAGAAACCCAAAGTCTTACTTACTTGAACAGATTTACTTTCAGATTATTTTTATGTTCACCACATGAATCTAACTTCTGTAAAATGGTTTTTGAAATTCTTCCTCTACTTTTAATCAGGTTTCTCATCTCATCATTCTCAGGTGTTACTGCTCAAATTGTTATTCTACCATAAAATGTTACTACAATAATAATTTAATTTAACTCATGTGTGTAAGACATATAATATCGTTATTCTCCCTCAAAAAGATATCTACTAATCATTTACACATACTTTTTGACATCAGCTTAATATTCACTAAAGTGTTACAGAACCTGTTGAAATACTGTGAATAGCATTTACACATGTATAACTGCATTTTTCAATGTTAAGTTCGTTTATGTTCTCTGCCCTTATTCTTTTCCATTCAACTCTTTTGTGTGTTATTTTATACTACTTATTAATATTCAGTAAACAGTTTTATTCTTAACACATTTTGTAGAGCAAGTTTGTCGTGTGACGTTCTAAAATATTTACATATACTTATAGCATTTATTGTATTTATCATTATAATCACTTTCGCTTATTCCTTGTAGCATTTATTCGCAGTTTGTGTAGTCATTCAGTCCTTGTTTTAACTCAGCGGTTTCCGTATTGTTTGCTCTTGATTCCATTTTTGCTTGTTGATAAACTGTTATCAAGATTAGACACTGCTATTAACTGTCATTTGCTCTATCATATGTTGTAATTGTTCTTTATGTTACTATTGTAGTAGACCCTTTTATTTCAAACTCACAGGCATACGAGCGCTACAGATACCTCACAAGTTGAGGTTTGTAACTAATTTATGAACATTACTAAATAAAGAACCGCTTTTTAGACAAATCGCCGTTGGTGAACATCGATTTCGCGCTT